AGAGATTTCTAGTGGATTGAACTCTCGAGCAAGGAGGCTTGGGGAGTGGATGTACTCCGGGTTGGAGGAACCACTATAAATCACGGCTTGATATTCTCTTCCCTTTCTTTTTATTTTTCTGCACTTTATTTGTAAGATTGCAGTTGATTTGTTTTATTTTGCATAACAGATTATACATATATATTGAAAACTTCATTCACGTGTTTATAAAGGAATAGAAGCTACTGGGATTACATTTTGGCCCCTTCATTTTTAAGGTTTCTTCAACTTGTCAGTTGGCCATGGCATTTTGAAGACAATCAGTTGGGGTTGGCTCTCAAAGACTAATGTGAATTATGTTAAAATCTTAAAAGTTTTTAAGGGTGTTGTCTCTTTTGTATTATAAGATAATGAAGCACTTTGATCATATTGGAGACTTAAAGCATCTACGATTCATTGATTTGTCTAGTACAAAGATTGAAAGTCTTCCTGAGTCAGCGGGTTATCTTCTTTACTTACAGACATTGTTGTTAAGGAACTGCCGAAGGATTTCCAAGTTGCCTACCACTATTGGAAATCTACTTGATCTCCAACATCTTGTTTTAGTTGAGACGCAATCTTTGAAAGAGATTCCATCAGAAATCAACAATTTAACAAGTCTTGTGACATTGTCAAAATTTATTGTTGGAAATGCTAGAGGACCAAGAATAAAAGATTTGAAGAACCTATCATGTCTTTGAGGCCAGCTTTCCATTTTGAATTTACAAAATATTTTGGATGCTAATGATGCAAAGGAGGCCAATTTGTCTGAGATTAAGGGATTGGATGACTTATCCTTAGAATGGTGTTCTGATTACCATGATGGCCAAAATCAAAGCACTGAAACACAAGTCCTTGGATGGTTAAAACCTCATGAGGGTTTGAAACAATTAAGAATCAATTGTTTTGGCGGATTGGAATTCCCATCTTGGGTGGGTGATCCATCACTTTCCAACTTAGAGTACTTGAGCTATGCAATTGTAAAAGCACTTCATTATCATCACTTGGGCAACTACCCTAGCTCAAAGAATTGATCATCACAGGCATGTGTACAAATACTCTTGATTTTTTTAGTTATTGTGGCTTGTTTTTATATATATATATATTTTTTAATCGATTTTGCTGCCTCTTTTCGTGTAGGCATGGATGCATTAGAAATTATGATGCTTGAGTTTGATGGAGACAATTCTTCTTCAGCTTCAGCTTTTCCAGCATTGGAAAGTTTGAATTTACAAGATTGCCCCAAGCTAGTAGGAAAATTACCTAAATGCATTCCTGCTCTTAAAAAGTTGAAGATTTTCAAATGTCTAGAATTAAGGTACTCCCTACTTAGTCTTCCATTACTTGAAAATTGCACATGGAAGAATGTAGTGAGGTAGTATTGAGGAGTATGGTCAATCTCACGTCACTCAAAACCTTGAGTATAAGAAAAATTTCTAAACTGACTTGCCTACCCAAGAGTTTTGTTGAGTCCATGATAGCTCTCAAGGATATAAAGATTGAGTCTTGCAATGAACTTACTTGTTTGTGGGAAGAGGGAGTCAATATCCTAAACCTTGCATGTCTTGAAAAGATAGTAGTCAGGAAGGAAGTGTCCTGTTCTTGTATTATTAACAGGGAAAGATAAAGGTCTTCTACCTAACAACATTCAAACTTTGAGCATATATAATTGTGAAGCGTTGGATTCCTTGCCTAATGAGATACTGATGTTGTTGCCACTTGAAGAATTATTTATTAGTGGATGTCCTACTCTCCAAATTGTTGTACCTATGATTTTCATGATTACAAAACACATTTGAGTGACTAATTGATTTATTTAAGTGTGTAGTTAAATTGCCAATATACTGCAAAGTAAGCAAAATGAGATTGCATTAAAAAGGGCCCAAAGGGTAAAAATATGTAGAGAGCCGGCTTAAGAAAATTGCAGCCGCTTTGGGAAGCAAAAATGCAGGGAGCCGGCTGCAGATTTTGTTGAGTCGGCTCTACAAGCTAGAAATTCAAACTACTGTTTTGGCGCGCGCAGAAAATGGAAGCAGAGCCGGCTCCCACTTTGTAGCCGGCTGTGAGGGTGCATTTAATGCACAGCGGTCGAATTATTTGAAGATTATTTAATGTGTTTAAAGTTGGAATCCTAAAGCCGGCTCTAGGCTTTGCAGCCGGCTGTGGAAGAAAACAGAATGTGCAGGAAACCCACAGAGCCGGCTGCAAAAAGGGTAAGCTGGCTGTATAGAGCCGGCTCTAGGAAGTTAAGCCGACTCTCCTGATAATCCTGCAACTCGAGCTTTGCGTCCTGCAGGGCATTTAATGACCCCCAATGGCTAGCAACGGCTATTTTCGAGCAAGGGGCTATAAATATGGTTGGTAACAGATCTGGAGAAGTTTGGAGAACATTATATTGAATATCTTTACTTACCAACTTGTGCTTTAACTAGAGATTTTGATGTTTGAGAGATCTTTGTTTGTAATCCTCTGCTTGTGCTATTAGTGAGTGATCTTGGGGGTGTGTTGATTCCTTCAAGAGTTTTATTGAGAGGATTTGTGGGGTTTACATTGTAAAGGGGTGAGGTTTGAGAGAAATACTCATCTTCTTATAAAAGGATTGAGTGGCTCCTTTAAGCCACCCTTGTCTTTCTTAGTGAAGAGTGTGGAGGAAATCCTTGGTGAGTGAAGTCAAGGTAGAGGACTAGGCTCCAAGTGGTTGGATCGAACCTCTATAAATTCATTATGCAAGCTCTTCTTCTCCACTCTTCTTAACTTTGGTTTTGTGGTTAAAAAAAGGGAGAATTTTTGGAACTCCAATTCACCCCCCTCTTGGAGTACATTGAGTCAACAATTGGTATCAGAGCTAGGGCTCCAATTTGAAGGTTTAATCACCTAGGAGTTGATCGAGAATGGCTCAATTTCTATCTTCTCAACCACTTGAAGGTTTGTCTACCACTAAGCCTCTTTTCTTTGATGGTACTAATTATAATTATTGGAAGAATAGGATGAAGGTCTTCATGCTTGCAAATGTGCCTAAGGCATGGGTTGTGACTATGAAAGGTCCATATGTACCTATGAAAATTGTTGGAGAAAGAGAGGTACCAAAGGAAGAGATTGATTAGAATGATGAAGACTTGGAGAAGATCATGATCAACAACAAAGCAATTAGTATGCTTCAATGTGCTCTCAATCCAACAGAATATCATAGAGTCTCTGGGTGTGATACGGCTAAGGAGATGTGGGACATGCTAGAAGTCACACATGAAGGAACAAGCCAAGTAAAGGAGTCAAAAATCAATAGACTCATTTACATGTATGAGCTTTTCAAGATGAAACCGGAGGAGAGCATTCAAGAT